TAGTTGTTCTAAAGATTTACCTGGTGGAGAGAGCAGTTGATGATATAATACTCCTTCTTCATCCAACAAATAGTTTTGTACAGTAATTGATTGCTTTGTATCTTCTAATTTTTGAATAATATCGTTCCATTTCTTTTCTCGTCTTTGGAATTCTCCAATTTGAGTTTTAGAATAAATAGGTTCAAAGTTATTTCTGTCAGAAATATGTCGAATAGGAATTCTACTTAGTGCATCCGCATTTTTATGACAATTTCCGGCCTTATGTTTAATATCAAAATTAAATTCCTGTAAGAAGATGATCCATCGAGCAACACGAGAGTTATTAGTAGAATCTTTATTGCTAATTAGCCATCTTAAAGGTCGATGGTCCGTTATTATGGTGAATTTCCTCCCATAAAGATATGGTTTAAAATATTTAGTAGCCCAGACTACCGCTAGACACTCTTTTTCGGCGGTACTGTAATTCCTTTCAGGTTTTCGTAATATTCGGCTTGCATATGCGATAGGTTTTTCTCCTGTTTCATCTTCCTGTGATAGGACGGCTCCTATTGATTCATTGGAGGCATCCGTAGATAATATAAAGGGTTTAGAAAAGTTGGGTGATCCTAAAAGAGGAGCTGAGGTGATTATTTCTTTCAATCTATCGAAACTGCGTTCCTGTTCTTCTCCCCATTGGAATTTTGTATCATTCTTTAATAAATCAGTTAAAGGCTTTGCAATGTGTGCATAGGATTTGATATGTCGTCTATAATATCCAGTTAAGCCTAGGAAAGATTTAATATCATGTTGATTGGTTGGTCGAGGAAAATTTAAGACACATGTTATTTTTTCTGGATCTGGCCTTATCCCTTCCTCTGAGACATCATGTCCCAGGAATTTGATTTGCCTTTGGAGAAAATGACACTTTTTTGGTTTCAGTTTCAAGCCAGCTTCAGCTAGTCGTTGGAAAATCTGTTCCAGTCTCGTTAAATGACTCTGGAAGTCGGGACTGAAAGTAAGTATATCGTCCATATAAACAAGGCAAATTTTTCCTTTGAGGCCGTGGAGAATAAAGTCTGCGGCACGTTGCCAAGACGCTGGGGCTCCGCAAAGACCCATTGGCATTCGGTTCCATTGATAGTGCCCATCGGGGCTAGAGAAGGCTGACTTCTCCTTGTTGCGCAGTCCCAATTGCCAAAATCCGGATAAGGTGTCCATAGTTGAAAAATACTTTGCCTGTCCTATTAGACTCAGTGCTTCCTGCACAAGTGGTAAAGGATATGGATCTGTTTTTGTTATTTTATTTAATTTCCTATAGTCGACAACTAAGCGCCATGTTTGATCTCGCTTCTTTACCAAAAGAGCCGGGGCGGACCATGGAGACTTAGAATGCTCTATTACTCCATGTTCCAATAATCCATCTATTATTTCATTCATCTGCTCTCGCTGGGCATATGGTATTCTATAAGGTGGTTGATATATAGGTGAGGCATCTCCGGTATTTATTTCATGCTCTACTACTGGGCAATATCCTAAGTCATAGTTATTGGCAGCAAATACATGCTTATACTTATATAATAAATCTAGCAAAGGTTTCTTTTTATCTTTCCCCACATGGGACCAATCAAACAGTTGGCCAAATTCCTCTTTAGTTAAAGTTGCAGTAGTATTTTCTGAGAGTAGATTCGAGCTTATAGTTGGAGGAGGAACCGTTTCTTCAATTGCTTTATGAAAGGTTCCAACGCATTTACCTTTAGGTAATTTCCTAGGCTGAGTAGACAAATTAGTTATGCGAACGGGAATTTTGCCCCCTTTTCTCGTTTTTATCACTGAATCCGCCCCTACAACACCTTCTTGATCATTTATCTCTGATTCTATAACTCCTATCTCTCCTCTTCGTTTTATTCCCGCTATTCTTGCCATCACAATAGTCTCTGTTCTAGGAGGAAGATTACAATCATCCAATAATATTACTTCTCTGACTTGTTCCTTAATATTAGGTTCTCTTATAGTAGTTAACTTAACATTAGAGTTCTCTGGAGTTAAACTAGTAATAGGTGGTATGGGCGTTCCTCTACGATTCCGTTTCCTTCTCTCCTGGATCTCAGGCCTCCGGAAGTCAATTTCCTCTCCTCCCGGAAGGATTAATTTCTCAGTGGCTAAACATATTGTAAAGTTTTGGGCCTTTATTATATCTCGTCCCAAAAGTCCATCAAATGGTTGAGGAATCAAATCGTCTACCACATAACAGAAATACTTAAATTGCAAGGGTCCTATTTTAAACTGGAACTCTACAGTTCCATATGTTTTAATTCCATGACCTGTTACACTTTAAAACAACACCTTTCTTTCCCTCCGATTAAAATCTATTCGAGTCACCTTCTGAGCTAACGAACGTGATAGAAGGGTTACTTTAGAGCCTGTATCTATAGCTAATCTGACGGGAAAATCGTTAATCATACAATGTAAAATGGGTTCAAAGTCTCCAGCTACTATCCTAACTCCTTCTCTGATTCGGGATTCCCTATACGCTTCACCGCTTTTCTTAGATGCGTCTAATTTATTTGGAAATCGATCTTGCCGCCGGTCCATAGCATGATGTAAATAAGGTGATGATGCGGAAGGGTGACATGTACTTCTATTCCTAAAACCTCCTCGAAGCCGCCGCCAGCTTACTTTATTAATTCGTCCATATGAGGACCCTCGATGTTGGGCTGGAGCAGGCCGAGTTCAGTGAACATTTCTCTGTCCGCCCGTGGAATTACTGGGTCGGTACTGCTGAGAATGAGTAGTGTCTCGGTCTTGTTCTCCGCCTCTTGCTCCCCCATTAAATGGTTCCGTTCGCCCTCGATAATAACCACGCCTTCCTCTCGAGGTGGGGTATCGCCTTCCTCGATTCGCTGAATAGGTATCTCTATGAAACGGAGTTCCTCGTCCTCGCGCCATCCGGTTATCGTTCTTTAGTTTCAATTCGTTTAATTGTGTCTGAATTCTAGCCACTGTTGTTTCTAAATTATTATTCGAACTAGCTCCCTCTTGTTCATTATCAACGTTATTCACTGCTCTTATAGGAAGTCGGGATTTCCCCGTTATTTGATCAATCGTCTCCTCACAAATAGCTACCTTAACGGCTTTATCGAAAGAATCCGGTTCCTTCGACAACACCTGTCGCTTTATCCTATCGTTTAGACCGCTCATAAATTGGGCAAGCAATCGCTCGTCTTTCTCTTTCGCTTGACACCGTTTGATAATCTCTGTTTCGCGTGCATCGACTCCAGTTTGTTCTATTATTGTTTCTGAGGCGAGTGTTTGCAGTCGAACGGCATACGTTTGCACGTCCTCGTCGCGCTCCTGCACACAAGCGTGAAATTTCTGTAACCTTAGGGAATATGGCTCTTTCTCAAAGCGCTTAATCATTTGTTTTTTAAACTCCTCATAAGTATCAATCTCCTTCATGCGCATATCTTTCCATGCAAAGTCCCTAGCAATGCCGGACAATTTCAGTTTTGCTACTCCCAAGCATTGAGATTTTGTCCAGTTAGTTAATTTAACGATTTCATCAAGGGAATCAAAGAAGTCTCCTATCCTTAATCCTGCTGTATCTCCCGAAAACGTAGGAATCAAAGGAATCATTCCGGATAGACCCCCTGCTGCAAGCGTACTTCCTCCTGCCTCTCCGCGCTGACGCCCTTGAGGATTTGCGTCACCTCTTGCCTCCATGTATCCCAAATTTTGCTCGAATCTCCCCTAAAATCAATCCCGCTCTGACACCACTGTGACCGCAGGGTCGGCACCTCTTTGGCGCCCTGTCAGGATGACACCACTGTGTCTTGTAGTAGACACAGAAAAATTTTATTGGCCGTTTATTTGGTTACGCGAACGGTCGCGTTATGGACTTCTAGTTCCGGGATGGAGGCGTACCGAGAGAACCAGAGGAATTACACTTTAACTCATCTAGACGTAATACCCGTTTATTGTTCATACTATATACAATCGCAATAGCTATATATAATTGGGTTAATTAACATATCTAAGTTTTTTCGGTTACCCGTATTCCTGAGAGAGAGAGCTCACATATATTTCGCGCGAGGATAAATACCTTGGTTTGAATCGTTGATTAGTCTTGGGTTGAATCGTTGATTTGTCTTCACAAAGTTCTTTCGAACGTTGATACGTTTTTCAAGTAGCACAAAGTTCTTCCTAACGTTGTCGGGCGTAGTCCTTTCGAACAGCGGCGATTAGATGAGTTCCTGGTAGCGACTTATCCGTTTTTGTAAAAAACACAGTGCGCACAAATTTCCAGAGACTGACTCTTACGTATCGACCCCTCCTTTTTATAAAGGGGGTCTCGTTGGGTTTTTTCCACTGCCTTATTAGGACTGTTCTTTTTTCTTTGACCAATAGCTTTTTTCGAGATTTCGGGTGACACATTCGATGTATCATGCTTGACAAGGAACTAAGTTCGTGGGAAAAGATTTTTATGTCTTTTTTTTATGGCAATTTGAAGTTAAATTTTTTTGTCTTTTCCTCCCTTAACAAAAATTTTATTTAACAAATTTATTCACTAAACTCGACTCTCACAATATCTCTAATTAGGTTGGAAATAAAACTTACACTGTACTCATTTTAAAGGCAATTTTCCTAATATGGCTTATTTCTTTAGTGTCTACCTTAAGAGACCAATGAGTGTGCACTCAGTTTATAAGGACCCTAAAGGTCACAGTTTTGTATCTCCTGGGATCAGAATTAGATGCCATGAAAGTGGCTTGGTACATTGGCTTGTGGTAGACTTTTGTAATTACCGTATATCTCAGCAGATAAGACGATAGTTGAATGATTAAAAAAAGGCCTCCAAAATCTGGGGTCATCTTACAGGACAGATACAAAAAAAATTATATTAAAATTTATATAAATTAAAACCATTATAAAAAGACAGACAAACCGTAATTATTTACTAGAATAGAGTAGGGTATGTGCACAGAATAGAATAGCCCATACTACATTTTTGCGAATAGTCAAGGTCATACTGGCATTGGCTGAATGTTGAATGCTGAATCTGTGCCAATGTTTGCAACAATCGCAAGGCAGTACTGCTAGATGCAAGAAAATAAAATTTGTTTATTTGAAAAATTACAAATAGGACATAATTCCATATACACTATACAGTATTATTATTCAGATGATGATGGCTGATATAAACTAAATTCATAGGCCATTGATAGTTTGTTGTCTTATAGGACAGATATATGATAAAACTATAAAACTTTGATGAAAATTTATACCTTGTCTTATCTGCCAAGATATACAGTATTTTCTTATGTATTAGCTCAATTTCCAAGTCCAAGAGGTGAACTTTTGCATTGCTGGACTGATCTAAAGTAAGGGTTAAGACACAGTTGTTGTTGTTAAATAGTCACATAATATAAAAAAAGTCATATTACTGTGTATTATTTTAATTATTTTATAATCTACAGCCAATACGATTATAAACATTATTTCAAAATTTCTGGATATCTATTTTCTTGTGCCTAACCTATATTGATATTAAAAAAATTTAAATTATATCATTTTTATAAAGAATGAAAAATGGATATAATATATTACATTCATTTTTAATTTTATGTAAATGCTGCCTAATGTTTTTATGGTGTAGCTGAAATTTCTTAAAACTAAATTATAAGATCAGAAGTGCATTTATTTCTAAAGTAAAAGTATTCATCAGATATGCCAAATTATGTTTAAAGAGATTACAAGCTAAATTTATTTCCTTTTCAAAATTTTTAAAATGAAATTACAATTAAAATTACAACTACAAACCCTTCTGATAACTGTTGGTGAGAAGAACTGTCCTATTGGATGTAGAGCAGTGGTTCCCAATTAGTTTTTCCTGCGTACCACTTCATAAAAGAGCTTAAACTCGCGTACCCCTTATAGCAGAAATTCATATTAATCCATACTAATATTATAAATTTGATGGTAATTCTGTCTGTCTGTCACCTTTTCACATCTAAACCACTGAACAGGTTTTAATAAAATTTGGCACAGAGATAGCTTACATGTTGCAGATGGACATGGTCTATATTTTACTGCGAGAAAATATCTTACTCCCATGAGAAAATTCGATATAATGCGGGCAAAGCTGTGGGTAGACAGCTAGTGATAAATAAAATAAGTTGTTTTTACATTTATTACCTTTAAAATACAATTCTAATAATAATGAAAATAACATGAGGTTATTTAATTTTAATGTGACAAATGTGCACAATTTTCTTTGCACAACTTTTTAAAATCTGGTTGCTTTTTGGTCAGCTTCAGTCTCAAGTCATCTTCAAGTTGAAGTCGGTGACAATGTTTAGTTTTCATGTTTGTCATGGCCGAAAATCCGCTCTTGCAGAGGTATGTTGTTCAAAATGATAGTAAATATTTTATTGCCGTTTTGTTGACATGATGATAATGATAATTGTACAATTTTTGTTTCTAGCATAAGAATTTCATTTAGGTATTGTCACAAATGCATTTTTTTAATGAAATTTCGAGAATATTTTCAGTTATAAATAAACAAATTTGTGCATTCAACATCGTGTTGTAAATTGCCAAATTTTTGATGGTCCACCCAATTATTTTTTGATTATTTCATCTCATGCATTTAAATTTTAAATAGACTGATTTTAGATTGCTGCACTTACCCCTTAATGTGATTTTGCGTACCCCCGGGGTACGCATACCACTAATTGGGAACCATTGATGCAGAGTAAATAAGCAGTATATAAAGTAATGGCCATTATCATCATTGTTCTTGATTTTACTAAAAATGTACATAAATTCTACAATATCCAATGACACAAGTTTGAAAGTTGATCACTTAAGACTTATTTACTGTAGAGAATTAACATACCCTAAAATTGAAATTACCAGAAATTAATCAGCTTTCAAGATACAAGTTCAAGTAGAAGTGTCTGTAATAGCAATTAAAATGTAGATTGACATTACAAAATGGAAGAAAATTAAAGGTGAATTTTCTTCCGTTTTCGGATCAGTGGTTTTCAGAAAAATTATGATAGCAGATGAATATTAAAAATTTTAATGATTTCTTTAAAGACACACTTACAAGGGGAACTCTTGTCATCACCAATTTCAATAAAATTTTCTGGATGTGTAGTATTTACTTGTACTTAAACTCCATCAAAGCTGCAGGACCCACTATTCAGGTATTCTCAAAAAAAATCACAATTGAAGTTTTTCTAGAACTATAACATCTATACAGAAGTGCCATTCACATGTTCATGGAATGACATGATTAGTTAAGGCATTGCATGAAGAGCATTAATATGCAAGATTGAATCGCATATATAGTTTCTAAAGTCATCAAAAATTTATTTTTTTTTATTTTGATCACTCCATATTTAGAAAATACATATAACATTACAATCATATTTTGTATTGTTTAACGTCATGTAGGTTCTCATACATATCAATACATTTACATTACATTTCATATGTAAGGATAGGAATATATTATAATATGCAGCGCAACACCATCAGTACTCTTTCCAGCAAAAAATATATTATTTACTGTGTATAATATATTAGTAGATAGATGGGTCTAATCTAATTAGGAAAGAAAACTAGATGAAGATTATGTTTTCTGCCTGATTTCAGTTTTACTGGAGAGGTAAGGACATTGCTATAGTTCATCAAGTAGGTCCCTTTGATGTAGAAAGGGAAGCAATCAAAGTTGACAGCTAGGATTCTCTCTTTTCATTCATCAGTAACCCCAATGATGGACAGTATAAATAAAACCATTAAGCATGCCAGACAAATTTTTATAGAAAATGTTTTCGCTTATACAGTATTTGGTTTGTAAGATATAGATATTCCTATGGAATCAATGAGCACTAGTACACTATCTCCTTAAAACCTAGAGAGAAATAGCAAATCATGAAGATGCTAAAAAAATACTCTCTCTAATTCTTAACCAGTTGGGTGCACCAGCTTTTTGTGACATGTTAAAATATGCTCTCAAATAACATGCAAAAGAAATATTTTCAAAAACATTATTGAAGTTTGTTTTCTACCCTCTGCTATTAAAACAAAATTTAAAGATTATGTGAATGAAATAGCAATGATTATTTGTGCATCACCAAACCATTATGTTTTAATTATTTTTATAATAAGTATTACCCAAAATGTTGTCATATTCTTGTGAAACAGTAATTTTAAGTATTTATTGCATTTATATTTTTTGAGCCAAAAACTTAGGAAATTCAAAAATAATTTTTGAATTCAAAAATAATTTTTGAATTTCCTGATATTTTATAAAGAATAATAAATTTAAAATGCAATAATTAAAACTGGCATAAAAATTGTACATAACAAATTTAATAACAATAAGAATAAATTATAAATGTAAAAGAAAAATTTCTCATATGGGATTCGAACCTGTATATTAATGCTCTTTATGCAACACTTTAACTAATCATGCCAGACCATGAACACATAAATGGCACTTTTGCATAGACATTAATAGTTCTAAAAAAGTTTAATCATGATTTTCTCAAGAATGCATGAATAGTGGGCTCTGTGTCTTTGGCAGAGTTTAAGTATGAGTAAATACTACACATCCATAAAATTTTGTCAAAATCAGTAATGACAACCTCCCGGGTTCCCCTTGTTAGTAAGTTTAGACAAAGAAAAGATGGTGCATAGACTTGTAATTGCAATTTCAAATTAGCAGATAACTCACACTGACTTTCAAACTGACTTAAAGTAACATACTCTGTACAAATTTGGAAAAATTTCCTTTTTTGAAATATATTACCAAAATTTGAACTACATTTCAAATAAAAAATGAAACATAATAATAAATATATATTAGCAGAGACTGACAGACTCTTACATTTCTACAATGTGACATATTTTTCCATTTCATAATATTACAATAATGTAATGTTTATTTTTAATTTCTTCAATGCAACTTTCTCAATTCAATCTTTTCTACTAATATTAAAGTATTAATAGTTTAATACTTAATTGAAATATCTTTAAAATTTTAAAAAGATAACTCTAATAAAACATTAAATATATTGAAAGATTAAAATATAAATTTTGTTCTAAAACATATCCACAACAAATCTTTAAAACCAGTAAAAAAGATTGTTATTTCAAGCAAACATTTTCAGCTCCTTTTACCAACCATTATCAGGCTGTTTAATTCAATTAAATTTGTACATTTAAATTATAATTTTTAAAAATTTTAAATACAATTATCACCAGTTGCAGCTTAAATTATATCATAATATTCATTTGAAATGAAAATATTTGTTACAGATTTAAAAGATTCATTGTAGATGTGTTGATGTGTAAGCAGTTCGTAAAAGTATTTGCTATAAACAACAACTTTTTATAAAAATATATTTTGAAGAAATAAAATAAAAAAGTAAAATTACCATTATGAAGACTGGAAGATGATTGAGAAGCAGCAGTATTAAATGCAGTCTCTAAAATTGCAGTTAATGAAGGAGAAGGACTGCTAACAAGAACTTCTTCTGGCTCCTACAGAAAAAAAATATTTAATTTTATTTTGAATGTTAAATAATAAAATTTAAAATAACATTAAATTTCTTATAACTTCTTAATAACTTATATAAGATTAATTTTCATCTGATTTTTTTAAATAGAATAAAAATTATCATTTTATAACAAAATTTTTTATTTTTGTATTATCTTACAGAAATAGACCATAAGCTAATTCAAAATAATTTAAATGCCTTCTTTATATATTTATAATAAATTCCACCTGATGATAACTAATTAACCCATTAATTCAGTGTTTTTCAACCTATTTTTAATAGTGACACCCCAACTTGGTAATTTTTTCTTGTAGCACTCCTACTTTATCAATATAGAGTTATTGCAATTTTTTTTACTTTTAATAATACACATAATTAGTGTTATGGCACTGCCAAGCAACATTTTGTGGCATCCTTGAAATGTCGTTGAAGCACCCTATTTTGTTGTGGCACACCAGTTGAAAACCACTGCATTAATTAATTACTCTCTAATATATATAGTATTAACACTGTATTGATCAGAAGAAAAATGTAATAGATATGAACTCATTAGTAGTAGTGCAAGAAGTCTGATGACAAAATGACTCAAACTTTGCAATTCTGCTGATGTTGTAAGTCAGAATTGCTTGTTGTACCATCAGCTCATCATCACCAAGTCTGACTCACAGCAACATTAACTCACAGCAAAATTAACAAGCTGACTCACAGCAACTTTGTGAGTTCTACTTTTCTTTTATCTCCTTGTATAATTATTTTATATAATACTTTATAACTATATTATATTTAACATTTTGTTTTTGATTCTTCCTGAGCCAAAAACACTTTTTAAAAATTAAATAAGTTTGGTTATCATAAGAAGTAATTTTCTCTCTTAATTTTTCATGTTTTTCTCTTTATTACTAATTACTCTTTATTAACAGTTAAAATCATTTTTTATACCATTAAATTTTTTATAGTAGTCACATAACAAAAATGCATAAAAACTTTCTCAAAAGCTTTCAGATAATCAAATTTTTGTATTGTTCTAATTGTTAGAAAATACATTAATTTTGAAACTAATTTGTATTTATCATACATATTTTTTAATCATTCTGAGAACTTTTATGTACTTCAAATATTTTTTATCTTGACAAATATTTTTATGTTGGTCTAATCCAAATAATCCAAGGTTATTTAAATAATGCTTACTTGCATTTATTTTGCTTGCACATATGCATTCTTACATATACATAGAATATATATTTATATTCTTTTTTTAAGTATGAAGAAGAATTGTGAAATAGATTGAAAACATTAATTCTATAGAAATGTTTATTGTTGGAGTAAAGTAAAGGCTATAATTATTTTTGTCATTTAATTTTAATGTATTTCAAATATCCATGAAGTAGTTTCAAATATTTCTACAATAAAAGAATTTACTATTTTCAAATGCTCTATTTATATCAAATACTAATACAAGGAATATCCAAAATTAATAGTAAAGGTCTGATCTCAGTACCCTACTGAAAAAATCAAAAATTAGACAGAGATTGCATTTCTTAGTATGTGTTTACCTCTTAATAGACATTTGATTACATAATTATATCACTCCACAGAAATCACTGAAGTTGATATAATGGTGTAGACTTCCAAAATGATGTTTACAACACAGGAACAAACGTTTTATACAAATTCAGGTCATGCTTGATTAGTAAGAATTTATGCCAAAGTAAAGAAAGCCTGCAGGAATAAAGCTTTGCTCTTATCAACTCTATAGAACTGCAGCCAAGTGGGCTGATGCATTTCACAAGGGTAAACAAAAATATATGCATGGAGATGGTCATCTACTAATGTATCAATCAGATCAATATGCAAGTAATCAAAGCTTTGCTGGATGTTGATCAAAAATGGATATGTGAGAAGAGTTCTTTAAAAGCAAAGATTTCCACAGTTAATTGTTTTCAAAGGTAATTATATTTAATATAAGTGTGAAAACTATAATAAGGACTGATTGGATGAGTTATCATTTAAACTACAGAATAACTGTCCATACTAATAACTATATATAATAACTGAATATTATCATAACTAAGCAATAAACTAGTCACTGCACTTGGCAAATAGCTATCATCTAGCCAACTAAAAATAATTCTTACTGTATTACCAAAAGCATAGATAAACAAGATAGAGAAGCAAAAATGAGTAATCCAAAGTGCAGTCCAAATTGGCATATATACAAAAATATACATTAGTAGATTTGGTAGATATTATCTACAATATTTTAATATATGCATTTTATAATCAAAAATAGTTAATTTTTATGCAATATAAAATAAGATTTGCTTAATTTTGACAATTAATATAAAACTGTGGCATTTTAAATCTAAACAGATTCTTGAACTTCACTATATAAAATTTAAAATATAAACTTTTTAAAATATTCTACCATTATTAAAATAAAATTTATTTAAATAGTCTAAATACAAATTACCCATATTGGAATCAGAGCTGATTAGCCATCCTGTTTCTTTACTACGATACAGAATAAATTTTAACCACCTAAAATTAGCTGGTTAACTTAGCCAGAAGTTTATCCAAAAGATTTGCACTTGTACAATGCATTGAGGGTAATTCTGTAGATTAATTAAAGAATACTTAATCTTGAGGTTAAAACTCATGCAAATGCTTTAAGGGATAGTATATACAGGTAACCCCCGTATAACACAGGAGTTATGTTCCAAAAAATTGCCATGTTATGCAAATCCATGTTATACGAAACAAAGAACTAGTACGAAAAGAGGGATTAGGTTCCAAAAAATGAAAAAGCATGCTATTATATTTTCATAATTAATATAAATATCTTTATTAAAATTTTCTTAAGTGATACATATTGATATAAATTAAACAATGTTTTCCTCATCATCACTAAGCACTATTAACCAAGGGCATTTTCTTTTTGGCAAGTTATCCTTATCCTCTGAGCATTTTTCTGTATTATCTTCAGATCCATGCTCTATCTTTTACAAAAAATTTGCTATTTTAGACTGCTTGCTTTTAGTTAAAAGATCTTTATAAATTTCCTTATATGGTGCTAAGCACTTATGAAGAATAAAGCAATTTATGGAATAATGGAAAAACATCTGGCAACACCAAAATCAAAAGTGTCGAGATCTGGCAACACTGAAACAAGTTTCAAGAAGGATCATGTGTATCAACAGAAGGCAGAAAAAGAAAATTCACATACTAATAGCTAACTTAAGTATTATTACTTAAGTACTAATAGTTCACGAAAATAATAATTTTCATGAACTATTAGTACTTCGGCATGTGAAAATTAATTACATTTCATGTTGTACAAGGATTTTACCCAATTCTCGAACCATGTTAGAGTGGATCCGTGCTATAGAAGTGCCGTGTTATACGAGTTACCTGTATATGGAAAGTTGCATCAAAATAGATTACATTTGTTGGATTTGTTGTGTTATTGGATTGCATTAGTGGCAATGCTATATAACTGCAACAGTGCATCTTGAATAATATAAATGGAAATGAGAAATGCTTTCCTCAGGTGCATCCTAACTGTAGATAAAATATGAGCACAAGTTTACTAACCTGAACTAAAGCAAGTTATTAGATTAAAGGCAATAATGTTCTCCAAGATCAAGAAAATTCAAACAAGGTCCTGCAGATGATAGTCATGATTATTGCTTACAACTATGAACATTTAATCTTGTCTCATGCTGTTGCAGATAAAACAACAAAAACATATGGTATTACAGAATTTTTCTGGGTAAGAATCGACACCTGGCATTCCATCAAAAACAATCAAAACTGATTCAAAGAAAACCCATCATATTGCATGATAATGCACAATATCATCTGTTGGTTGTTGTACACAAACCAACAGGTTTTTCCATTTCCATAGGTAAAAATACCTATGGAAATGGAAAAACCTTGAAATGCACACCCTATATCCCAGACTTGAGCTCCTGCAATTATAAATTTTTTAGGAAAGTGAAGAAGCCCATGCAGAGAGTACAACAGAATAGTCAAGAAGCAATTTGTGCCAATATGTTCTCTCTGAGAGATAACTTTAGAAATGACACAAATTATTATTTATTACTATTACTACAAATTTTTAAAATATTTATAACAATTTATTATTTGAGAGTGATCTGTAATTGAACTGTCCAGGGTTTCCTAAGGTGGTTTAAACATATTTAAGTTCCAAATAAATAGTTTTGACTTCAAAAACAAAACTGAACTTACAAAGAAAGTGCTCCAAATGACTATCTGACTTTTAAACATCTCATATTTAAAACAAAAGTTTACATAAAACTTTACGTAAGTTTTATGTAAACTAAAATTGGTTCCTTTCCTTTTCAAAAATGCTTGGGAAAAGGAACCAGTTTTAAGCTATTGGATTTATAAGCTCTAGTAAAAACACATTCATAAGAGTGGGTGATGTAGTGGTTGTGTTCTGGTCTCCAAATGCATATCCTTTCATAAGTAGTCAGGTATAGTGCTATGCTATCCCTATATAGAGGAGAATAAACGTGGGAAATTTTTTTAAAGTATTTTTTCATGTGTTTTTTCTCATTACTGTTTCAGAATAAGATTTTGTAAACAGTTATGTCTAGTTAAGAAAAGTCTTTTTTTATTGTTACATAATTCCTTTTATATGTGAAATTTTTTTTTGTGGTAGTTTTTGGCGATATCCACAAAAGATTTTTGCAGATATATCTGTCCTACACCACTGCCACACGATCGCCCTTGACAGATATATCTGTTGGTCACTGCTGAGTGGATATTCTTTGGTGTTCTGGATTGGAATCTCAAATTTTTTAAAGAAATTTTTTAAAATTTTATTTTCATTTTTTTTAAATTTTTATTGTACCTACAAGCATTTTGTTTATAGATTTGTTATTATATTATTTTTTATATCATAACTTGTTATATTATTTTATCTGTGCTTAATTTTTAATCTTTAAATATTAATAAATAATACAAAGTGTAATTATTTAATCTCCTAATATTATCATAGAGTGAAATTTTTATACACTTATTTAATTCTTTTATTCAAAAAGTTTGGCTAAAACAAATCTGACAGTATTTTCTCTGTTGATATTTCTAAAGTAAGTATTGAGGACCAACCAAATAGCAAACTCAGCCTTTTTAAACACTTAATGAAACATGAAACATATTGCTGAGAAATGTTTATTAAACAAATACTAACATTTTCAACCTAATAGAATAGGCCATCTTCAGGTGTAACTGCATTCAAACTTATTTTAAAAATTTAACATTCTAACAACAGAATGTCCAAACATTTTACATTTATATTTAAAATGAAAATATTAGATAAATTAACCAATAAATAATAAAATAGAATAAATCCTTAAGCACAACGGCTCTTCAAATCTCGGAACTTTTAACCTGAAGAAGACTGAAAAATACGGTCAAAAACGTTTGTTTTTCAATTAAATATTTTACTGGTCACTTAAAGGTTGTTGTGAGTCTATTATATATTGTACCAGTACCTGTAAACGAGTGTTTAACCTTTAATCATTCATAACAAGCATTTATTTCAGTAACATGAAATGCCTATTTTCTGACAATTTATACACATCAAGAATTCAAAAACATATTCATACCTTATCATCAATTCCAGTAATAATTTTGTTAAATAAATTAACAAAATTATCACTTTTTATTTAAAATGTTTTTAAGTAAATTATTGAAACTTGCTAACTATTGATTAATAAATAAACAGTATACTTATACATGAGCCATTCACAGGCCAAATCGATTAACTCCATTTGTAAATCCTTAATACAATCATTATTATTTTCAAATTTTTCACAAAACAATATATAATACATTCTGCAATGTTTATTTAAATTTAAAGTTTAAAAGGAATTTTAAAAAATAATTTATATTCACAATTTTTATACTTTTTGTTTTGTGGAGTTAATCGATTTGGCAAGTGAGCGGCTCATAATTAATAACAAAAATATAACTTCTTAAATTTTAAAATATGATGAAAAAATAATATTTCGAACAAGTAACAATTTTAAATAGATATTTTCATAAATTATATAAAATTTGTTTAGAAGTTTTTCTTGTTAAATTTACTTAATTACTTATATTTTTTCATGACTTTTTGTATAAAAAATTTATCTGAAAACAAAAATTATACTCTTACAACAAAATATATAGTGAAATATTAATATAATTATGCAGTACAATGTTGCCAACCTTCCTTAATGAGAATTCTCACTTTTTTTAATTAAAACCTATCTGTTTTTTCCATATTATTTTATGAAATCTCCCATCTTTCTCCCACTACAAATTTTAACATTAAAATATAGTCACTGGCTATATTATTATGACCACACAAAGAATTCAAATAAAATTAGATTTTAAAGTTGTTTTTGGATTTACATCTTACTATTGTAACTTCAAACATGTATACAAAATGTCTGTTTATATTCAGTAACAAAAAAGAAAATACTAAAAATCAAAATTTCAAAAGAAATAGTAAATCAACAGACTAATGTTTTGCTATTTACCTTTCCACTGATTACAGTTTACCTATACTTTAGCATCTAGTTCAGCAATTCCCAACTGTGAATATGCGAAAAAAAAATAACAACAAATATACTATAATAATAATACAGTAATATCCTGAACTTACACAATAGGTGGGACCAAGCAATAACTGCGTAAGTTGAATTCGTGTAAGTCGGGGTACAATTTTGCAATTTGTGTAAAATCCAAGTCGAATGTATGTAAGCTAATAAATGTTCTTGTTAATCTTATCTCATCTTTTGATTCGTTCATGGTTACAAGAAATCACCACATAGGGTCTCTCAAGTCTCCATAGATATAACAAACACAGAAATAAATAACATAAAATAAATTGTAGCTATGTGTCGATTCCGTGCGACACATCCGAACATGCAAGTTGAACAATAGTGTGGGGGGAGTGAGTAATCAAGAATTGTGTGACGCTCAAACAAAAGATGAATTGACAAGATTTGAAAATCGCATAACTCCGGGTTCACGTAAGTTGAAGTATTACTGTAATTGGATTCTATGTTGAGGTCTTTGGCAATGTCATGGAACTCAATGCTTAGTGTTATATTTATCTGTCCTTCCTCACAATTTTCAATTAAAAAAAAAAACATCATTTTTCACATGTAATTGTACAGCACTGTATACATTAATTGGCCAGGGCATCATTGGTTGATAAATACACAAAATAAAACTTAGTGGAAATGGAAAATAAAATTTAGGAAAATGGACTGTCAAGGAGTACACGAGTCAAAAAAGGTTGCGAACTGCTGACCTAGTTGATTATGTTATTTTAGGACTCTCCAATGGCCAAGTGGATAAAATTACCAAAAACTGAAATATGACCCCTAGTTTGCACCTGCCCAACAGTTTGGACCATAAAAATTTTCTGCAAGTAAAACCCTTCACACATTTAACATCCTAAACAGAGGGCCCAGTTCCTGTAGAAAATTCTCATGAGGCATTTGATCCTTGGAAGACTGCCCACAAGTTTACATTGTCTTATCCCATCAATCCAATTCATTTGCAATTAGTACATCATTTACTGAAAGTTTTGTGTAATTTCTCAAATTTTACATCACTTACAACAGGAAAAATCCTTTCAACTTTGGTATTTGAATGTAGAAGCACTAAAATTAAATCAGCTAATTTATTTATGTTTGAAAACACTGGTTTGTTATCAAAATCCTTCGTATTTCTTATTGTTCCATATCTCTTCAAAAAGTTTAATCTTTTAACAAATTCACCTTCTAATAGTTTTATACTTCTCCATTTCATATCAATATTTTGAAGTGGAAAAATATAAAACTATTAAAAGTTGAATTTTTAAAATAAGTCTTTTGATACAAAAATGTGTAAATTACAGATTTCTGTATCAAAAAACTTACTTTAAAAATTTATCATCAAAATTACATCTTTTTGAAGAGCTCACTTTTAATAACAATGTTTTTAATTTAATTGAAGAATCAGAAGATCAAAATCATTTAATCTAAAATTAGTATTAAAGAACTGGAATAGAATTTCAATTTATTAAATAACAATTTTCCTCAAATATCCAAAATGGCATTTACTAACTGATGCAACATGTGCTGAGAATGTATAGTTTCATCCTTTGGATTAAAAAAAGTACTAGCACAATTCACATTCCTAATATTTCTATTTCTTCATGATAACAAAAAATAAATTAAGGTAAAATTTTCCTTTTTCTTGTTTAATTTGAAAATTCCCACAAGTTGGAAACATTAATTTGAAGTGTAACTTTCTTTGTGGCCAAAATTGCATAATATTCTTATGGTTAGTATTATTAGTTAATGTCAACTCTTAAAGGAAGCTCATGGGGATTGACAGTAACAAGAATTTACTGTAAATATGATAATTTCTTAAATTATAATTTTATTCTTAAAAATATATACCTCTGGATGGACTTTGATGAATGCAGAACTCTCACCCCATTGATGTTCTTGCTGTTCTTTTGGAAGTAAATGCTCTTCCATAGTAATTGTAATACTAACAATTGGCTATTCTGTAAAAAAAATATATTTTTTAATTATAGAATATATAAAACTGGATAAAAAAAATATATTATTATTATTTACATATCTAAATTTATTAGAAAGTTTGAATCAAATACAAGTGTTCAATTTTGAGTTTTAACTTTCTAGGTTTATTAAAACAAAAATTAAAGCAAAATATATCCAAAAATTATTTCTGAAGATAAACTTAAATTTTAAAATGGATTTTATAATCCTATCATTACTGTATTTCCTCAATTCTAAGATGGGCATTTTTACTTGTCTAAAATAGAGGTGTTCTTATATTGACAGTTCAAAACAACAATCAGCAGTCATTGCAAATAGACCACATATTGTACTGTGTATGCACTATTAATAAATATTTTTGACTACATTATATAGCTATAGTACAGCTGAAAATAAAATATTTTGCAAAATTATTTATTTATGTTACATCTTTAACAAGGCCAAACATTTTACAATTAATAAATGGATAATTAGAACAAACAAGGAACTGTACCATCTGTATTATATATTTCATGTAAACAAGTTAAAGACCAACAGACTGTGTGTTGGATCACATGGAAAATATGGCTGACAACAGGAAACTAAAAAAATTTACATAAAAGAAATGGAAAACATTAAAACAGATTGATGGATAATAAGTTATAAATGATGATATCAGAGAAGTAGGAAGAGAAACTGGATTGAGAAGATTGGGGATAGAAAGAAGTGGAGGAAAAAACTATTTTTTGCTAAGAGTCTTAAAGATTGCATCATGCAGAAAACTTATTGATAATTAAGATTGGAATGTTGAAAAATATCCAAGAAATCTCTGAGACAAAAAACATCAAGAATGCATATTACAATTTGAATTTTATATTTAAACAAGAAACCAATTAAACTAGATAAATTTCAAATAATTGTTTATGTTCTGTATCTGAATATGATTGAAAAGTTATTGCTAGATTATGAAATTTTTTGTTTTGAGATGTTTTACATTTTATAAATAAATTACAAAAATCTAAATAATTCAAAATACAGAAATGATATAATCTAATCATTTAATAAATTATATTGCAAAATTAGGGATAAAGACATATACCACATAGGAGATGCACTACATAAATTCAGTCTTTGATCTTAATATAAAAGTGTAAATTATATTTGATTTCATAAACAATACTGATGTTTTGATCCCTTAACTTACTAAACAAATCCAGAAATCCTGTTTATCATTACATAAAATATTTTCTAATTATTTTATGTAATGATTGGAAAACATTTTAGCTTCATTCTCAAATATTCAAATTGGAGCGGTTAAGAATAAAAGATTTCAAAAACATTTATGTAATGCTATATTTTGAGACAACATGAAGTGTTGGCACTAGACACTGGACTTTTCCACATTCACTTTATTTTCAACATAAAGAAGATAGTTATGTAATGATTAATAGAATTTTATAATCAGTTTGTTTCTATTTATTTTGAATTGTTTTATAATGATTTCAATTCTGTAAACAAACAAATGTTGCAAATTCACAAACAACTATCAGACTGTTAATTTAGCTTCTGTAATAGCAGTTCTTAAAAAAGTCAATATTTCAGATTTATCATATAACTGTTGCTTTTTACCAAGTTGTATCCTTGATATAAATTATGATAATCAGAAAAATAAATTACTTGAAATGTTAAACAATAAGATTATAGAATAACAGAAACTTTTCAGGAAAAGAATTTATAAAAGAACTAGCATCAGAAGGCAACATAGTAAGTTTAATCCAGCTTGCAAAACAGGAAAGCATCAGTCTTAGATAAGACTTACAAACTATATAAAGTTACTGGAAAATGCTATTAATGTTTTTTACATTTTTATGCCAATAAAATAATTATACAGTCTGCATTTGGAAAACATCCAATGTTTTTATCTATGCAAACAGAAAAAGATTAATATTTATATCAACAGACAAGGAATAAAAACCAAGAACTTTGAAAATTATTTTGTTACTGTTTGTTCATGTGAATGCATTAGAAATATGACTGCATAAAGAAAGAAAAAAATGTATTTTTAAAATTAATGATGTTCAAGACTTAAAGCAGCTTATATTTTCAGTATTGATTTATTTTTCATTTTTGATTTGATTTAAGACAGTAATCAAATTATAGATAACAACATCTATCTATAAGAGAAATAAAGATTTTACCTATTGTATAATTAATGTGATTTATTGTATTTATTAATTGACAAGACTATATCTTGTTTATAAAATCATACTGCCCGATGTTCTTACCAGCATAGTGGTATGAAGGAGTACATGTTGAGAGTTGATATTTGGCACAGAGTATTAGGTGCCCAAATCATTTGCGCATAAAAAAATCCAGACTCATAGGTAGTCGGTCTGGATTTTTTTATCCAGACCCTTCTGGATTTTTTTATCCAGATTCCTCGATTCTCAGGGGACTGAGAATCGAGGAATCTGGATAAAATACATCACAATAAAATACAAAATGGCAACCCTCTTCTACAAACAGGCAAAACAGCCACCTCACCCCACCAAAGTCAGGTAGCGGAGAGTACCACCCACAGTCATTCTAAGAAGTGAACTCTGACCTTAGGACTGAACGGGTAGTTTCTTCTATGTTAAATAACCTAATTTTGTAAATTTGGGAGTGCTTCAAATATGATGTTAGAATGGTTTTATGTCATTACAAGTGGGTTTTTTTAAACATTATCTAGTATAGTAAAATCGTAGGACCAATAAAAATTTGACGTTATATTAGGACTGTCGTTACATTTGATGACATTATAATCGGGTTAAACTGTATATTGTTTGTGTATATTGTATAATTTCAGACGATACAATAGCCATGATTATTTTTTTCAAAAATGGGAACTTTTCGTTATGCATCGACAAAAATTCAACCCAGGCCAACACGCAACAGAGAGAAATTTTGAAATTGGATGGGTTAATTTCATTAAAAATGCATCGTGGACGACCTCGTGGTTGTCGCTGGTGAAGTTTGAACAATCGCGCCCAAAGGCAGCAATATCAAAGAAGATAGGAGAATGAAAACAAGACCTGCCTTGAGCATCAAAGTGATTCCATCTCCGAGACATAGTCTTGTCCCAAATATGGTTTTGCCGTTTTACTTGTTTAATTTTAGAAACATTTTCCATATACTGATTCCAGGATGATATCCTTTATCATGTCACAAACAACAGTTTTTGTTGTTGAACAACTTTTGTTTTGTGATTTTAATAATTTTGAAGTTACAATGGAAAATAGTATAAATATTTTCTATTGTAATTTTTACTTTTATTTTTACAGTCTATCTTACTGTTGTGCTTATATACCACATTTTTTTTATGTTTCTTTCTATATTTTATATCATTTTATTTGTATATATCATATTTACATTAGTTATGTATATTTATATCTGTCTATCATTTTATGCTTTTTTTACTGATTCATATTTTTGTTTATTGTATGTTTTATGAAAGGTTGTTTACAGTGTTTTATGGAAGGCAGTAATCTCATGCATTTAGATATTATTTTTGTGTTAAATAATTAAAAAAGAATTAATAAATAAACAATACCACCAGATACAATCTTAAAATCAGTATAGTTTGTTTCATGCCTTCCATGCTAAAAATGATGACAAAAATAACCAATAAACAAATTTTAACCATACCTTTATAACATGCATATGCAAAGAAAAATATTTATGCAAAGCAAAAAAACACAACACAAAACATTCTGTGTCAAGGATAAAAATGTGCCAGCAACAACAACCAATAAAAGTTATTCCTGTAGCAAAAAAGCAAATAAATAAACTATAACAATGAATAGCACATATAAACTGTGCAAAACTGGTGCAGTTAATTCCTTCTTTACCAAGGAATAGTTTAGGGCTCTAAACTGCCATGAGACAAACACCTGTTTCAGATCCTATGCAACAAATTACCGTTCGGTACTATGAAAATGAAAAATCAGAATATACAATTGCATCTGTCATCTACTTTTTAGCAACAATCTACAGTCGACCCCCCTATAAGATAGAGATACGTTCCATTCTCTAGGAATCCGCTTTCTTACGAATCCTTCCAATCACAACCCGACACGTATCAAGTTTACGGACTACGGCTGTTTGAAAGGTTTTCTTCCATAAAATTAATCGATTCTAGACTAATCCGACTCAACATTTCCAAAATACGTATATATTTTTTGGGAATAATCCGTATAAACTACGCTATAAACAAAAAATTGTAGGATTACTTACCGAGTGTCACCATTCGACATTGCCATTGCTCAACATTGTTTTCGTCGCGGAACAGCTCAGCAAAGAG